GGGCAGTCGGCCGATGCCGGAGCAGGACTTCCTTGTGTTTGAGTTTGGTTAGCTATGGGACGCGACTTATAAGCAGAACTTCCTTGTGTTTGAGTATGGTTTGCTATGGGACGCGACTTGCAAGCAGGACTTCCTTATGTTTGAGTTTGGTTAGCTATGGGACGCGACTTATAAGCAGGACTTCCTTGTGTTTGAGTTTGGTTAGCTATGGGAAGCGACTTGCAAGCAGGACTTCCTTGTGTTTGAGTTTGGTTAGCTATGGGACGCGACTTGCAAGCAGAACTTCCTTGTGTTTGAGTTTGGTTTGCTATGGGACGCGACTTATAAGCAGAACTTCCTTGTGTTTGAGTTTGGTTAGCAATGGGACGCGACTTGCAAGCAGGACTTCCTTGTGTTTGAGTTTGGTTAGCTATGGGACGCGACTTATAATCAGAACTTCCTTGTGTTTGAGTATGGTTTGCTATGGGACGCGACTTGCAAGCAGAACTTCCTTGTGTTTGAGTTTGGTTTGCTATGGGACGCGACTTGCAAGCAGAACTTCCTTGTGTTTGAGTTTGGTTAGCTATGGGAAGCGACTTGCAAGCAGAACCTCCTTGTGTTTGAGTTTGGTTTGCTATGGGACGCGACTTGCAAGCAGAACCTCCTTGTGTTTGTTTGAGTTTCCATGTAAGCAACTATCGACAACAATCCATCCTTGGCCTGTTTTGCAGTCCTGTCAGTATTCCAAGTTCTGCACCTGCAGCCTCATTTTACAGCAGAACACCCAATTCTAATCCTCCAACTGTGTTCCCAATCCTATGGCAGCGACCTCATCCTAAACTTGCGAAAGCCTGCAATCCCCGTCCTGTCGACCAGGGTCCCATCCCCATCCCTGGCCAGGGCTCCCAATCCCCTCCTTGGTCAAGGTTGCAATCCCCATCCCTCAGACAGGGATCCCATCCCCATCCTCACCCCCGACAGCAATCCCCATCCCAAAAGTAGTGTAGCACGCCTAATCCCTAATCCTCGCCCTGGGCCCCACATCCCATCCTGACGTTGTCAACCCTATTCCCCATCCCGCCTGACCAGTACCTGCCCCCAATCCCCCATCTCTGCAACCCTCTGGCTGGAC